TGTTTTGTGTGCCGGATAGCTGGGGAGTGTCCAGCAGAGCACATGTAAATGTGAAGACTCCATGGAATATTACACGGTGATGAGACACCTGGGTTAGAGACACCTGTGATGAGATGCCAGTGGATTCTCAACTTATGAGCATCGAAGAAAAAAAAAACAGTGGTGCACATTATATACAAAAATGCATGTACACACACACACACACAAACACACACAAGGTTTTTGTGTTTTTCTTGAGACATGGCTTCACTGTGTGGCCCGAGCTGTCTTGGACTTGCTTTGTAAATCAGGCTGGCCTCAAACTCAGAGATCAGTATGCCTCTGTCTGCCGAGTCCTGGGATTAAACATGTGTGCCACCACCACCTGGCAATACACAAGTATTTTTAAGAACCCATGCAACCCAAAATATATTTTTTAAAGGCCAGCCACATGACTGAAATAAGAATAGGTAGAGGGAAATTTTTTTAAAGGCAAGCATGAATGGGAACATATTTAATTCAACTAATTCTTAGCACTAAAGTTATTTTTTCTCTGTCAGGCATGACAGTGTTATACTGGAATGCTACAATTTGAGAGACTGAGGTTGGAGAATTACAAGCTTGAGATCAGCTTTGGGTCGCACAGTAAAACTATGTATATGAGAAAAGATGATGATGAAGATGAGGAAGAGAAGGTACCAATGGCACAGAACTGCACAGCACAAAGATGATGATGAAGATGAGGAAGAGAAGGTACCAATGGCACAGAACTGCACAGCACTTCTCCCACGGTTCTCTTCTGCCACACTTTCGAGAGGATTTACCATGACAAAACTTTAGGGTCAGATTATCATTCAGGCGGAAAATTAAAATTAACAAGAGACTTGGAAATCCACTTTCTTTGCACACCTATCAACATCACACAAAAACAACAATTTTGGGTGGGGATGGGAGCTGGAGAGACGGCTCAGTGGTTAAGGGCACTTTTCGTTCCTTCAAGATGACCACGGTTTGATTCGCAGCACCTGCATAGTGCTCAGGCCAACTAAACTGGTCTACATACTAAATTCAGAGCAGCCAGAGCTACATAGGAAGACTGTTGGGCGGAATGCTTTCAAATCATAGACCCATCTAAGAATTTGCAATCAGACTTTGACTAAAGAAACATTTTTAAAGTCAATGACATAAGTAATTATCACTGTCAGCATTACTGTATTTCCAGTTTAAAACTTCTGACTCTGTCTGATTAAGACAACAAGTACACAGTCAGGTGCGGTGGCACATATCTATAATCCCAGGAAACAGACAGGCAGTTTTCTTTGAGTTCGCAGCCATATAAAATAAAATAAATAAATCTTTTAAAAATAAGTAATGCCTATTAGAAAACACAAAATACAAAAACTGACTCAAGAAATAGAAATCAAAGAAAAATACATGAACTATGTCTATAGCAATCACTGGTAAATTCTATGAAGCACATAAAGAATTAACATTAATCACAGCATTAATCCTAACACTCAACATCAAAACACCAAAGAGACAAACTCGGTCCAAGAGGCTGGTATTATCCTAACAACAAAGATAGCAAAAAATCACAAGAAAACTATAGGCCATATGAATATAGATGCAAACATATTCAAAAGTCTAGCAAATTGAATCCTATGGCACACGAAAAGGATTGCATAACTAGCAAAATGGGAATTATACCAAGAGTGCAATATTGGTTCAACATGCGATTATCAATTCATGTATATCGTATTAATAGGAAATGGGATGGTGAGGATCATTTCAGTAGATGCCAAATCTGACTAAAACCAAAACCTTTTTTTAATAAAAATAAAATCCAGAAGATGAAAAGGGAGCTTCCTTAATATAACAAGTCACAAGAGAAAACCCCACAGTTAACATGCTCTCAGCTGTGAAGGACTGAAAGTATTCCTCCTGAACATGACAAGGGTACCTGCTTTTACCACAGAACCCCCTCTAAGAGTTCTTAGTAAATCAGAAAAATTCAAACCATCCAAACTACAAAGGCGAGAGACACTCTATCTGCAGATGAAAGGAAATTCTACATGCTCTACAAGAAAATTAAGAGTTAACAAATAATCCCAGCACTCAGGAGGCAGAAGTAGGCAGATCTCTGTGAGCTCAAGGCTAGTCTGGTCTACGAGTGAGTTCCAGGACAGCCAGGGCTACCCTGTCCCAGAAAAAAAAAAAAAAAAAAAAAAAAAAAGAAGAAAGAAAGAAAAAAAAAGTTAACATATCAATCCAGCAACGCTGCTAAGGTAGAAGATCAACATGTAAAAAGTAGCTATGTATCTATACCAACATATAATCCAAAAATGAAATTAAAACAATTATACTTACAATAGCATCAAAAAGAATAAAATATTTGCAAGTATGGGCTCTGAAGGGACCCTGAGGGTCAAAACAACGGGACAGTTCTATCAAAACTTATAACGAAGATATACTAAATTCAAACTGGTACTGGCAAAAGGAAAAACAAACCAATAAAACAAAATACAGAATCCAAATGTGGATGGACATACACATATTCATGACTTCTGATGACAGTGCCAAGGAACAAAGGGGGAAAACGTCTAACAAATGATCTGGTCAGAACTAGACACAACACACCAAAGGATGAAGGTAGACCCTTTCTGAATATCATATATAAAAATTAACTCAAAATAGTGTTTCTAAATATAAAAGTTAGACTAAAAAGGCAAAAACCTTATGACAACAGATTTGGAAACAATTGCTTAGATGTGATCCCCAAAGTACAGGTAACCAAAAGTACATGCTGCACTATTAAAGCTGCTGTATGTCAGATACAGTCAAAACGTGACCATGTGAGAGGCTGCCTGCAGAACGGCCAAATACATTTTCACATTATACATGTAATAGAAGGAGTTACAATACTGAAGATATAGAAAAGTTTAACAACTTCAGTACAAAAAGTTAAGCAGCTAAATTTCTAAAGGTTAAAGGACTTTGTAAAAAAGATCAAAGAAGATATACAAATGGTTAAAATGTATATCAAAACCATAGCAAGAAACCACTTCCTACTCAATAGCACAATTAGTAGATAAAATTAAAAAAAAAAAAACAGAAAATAAATCCTGGCAAGGATGTGTTAAAATGGAAATCCTTGTTCAGTACAGGGGAGTGGAAAATCATGCCATCACAGAGGAAGAATGGGGCAGTAGCCCTCACAACACTGCTGGTAGACGCATACAAGGACAGGCACTGTGGTCTCACCAGCTGGGCAGTTCTCTAGTAAGAGATAACTGGCATATGATTTGGCATTTCTACTCAAAGAACTGTATATAAGGACCCCAGGATCAGCCCTATTCACAACAGCTATATGTATATGTATGTGCATAGATTTGGGGACTGGAACCGCAGCTTGGTGGTAGAGAATGTGCCTCAAAGGGAAGGTGTCCCTGTTCAACTGGGGGGTGCAGAGTCTGACAAGATCACATACAATATGGCTGTACTTATATGAAATGACCAGAAAAGACAAGTCCCCAGAGACAGAAGATTATTGGTTGCCAAGGGCTAATGAAAAAAAGGGCAAGACATGGATGATTATAAGCCCCAAATGTTGTTATTTAAGTGGGGGAAAACATCTGGACTCTTGAGGCAGGGTTTTGCTAAATATCTCAGGATGGTCTCAAAGTCACAGGAATCTTCCTGTCCCAGCTTCATGAGCACTTCAAACACAGTTATGTACAACGCCCAGATCAAAAGCAAAAGCTTTGTGCTATGTGGTCACACATAAACTTTCTACCTGGGCCCTTTTCCCTTTCCAGTGTTTTTTTCAGTTCTATGATTTTTTTTAAAAATTTTAATTAATGTATGTAACCACTGTCACTTCATATCTACGCAAAGATCAATGATGAGAAATACTGGGTCTGGTAAACTAAGCACCTCCTGTCTCCTTCCCTATAGGTCAGCAGTGTCCATGAACTCCTACCAACAAAATACTTTTGAGCACAAATTGCCAAAATAGATATTTATTTATAAATTATTTTACTAACCATATATTATAAAATATACAAAAATAGAAAATTTGAAAGTTTGAGTAAAATAAAAATAAACTCTACTTTCCCTATTCCAATTGGACAGAGCATCTCTCCTTGGAGAACTCTTCTCTGGATCTTTGTTTTTTGAGACAGGTTTACACTAAGCATCCTGAGTGCTGAGAGAGCAAGTGCGCATCACTATGTCCATGGCACTAATTTAACTATTGGGTGGAGGATCTGCCTTCATCAACTCTTTTCTGAAGTAAGGTGACCTCTGACTGCTACCACGAGGGTGTTAACATTACCCTGCTAATGTCTTCTTTATGAAGAGAGATGAGGAAACTTCACTTGGGCTTTTGTAACTGAATAAATAACTAATGATTTTGAAATTTTGATTTGCTTTTATAGCATGTTAAGTGATTACAATTTATCTTCTAGAGTATGTAACACCAAACTTGTAGCTTATTTCTGGCCAACACATCCATTCACCAGGTGTATTTATCCCCTTATGGCTTTAACTTGTCTTTTCATTTGTTAGTTCTTCTTTTATTTATTTTAAATCATGTTGTGGTAGACCCCGTTTTCAAATTTTATATGATTTTAAATTTCATTTACTTAAAAACAATATTGTATTATATGTGTGTATGCATTTAAAGGCAATTCAAACACTTCTCAAAAGACAGGAGGAAAGAATGAAAAACAGATCCCACCCTCACCCAGCCCACCCCCGCCGAACAGAGGCCATGCTAAGCCTGAAGCTCCGAAATCTACCTAGTGCAAAGCTCCGCATGCACAGGTGACTGGCAAGCGTGTGTTGGGGGAAAGAATGACAACAAACAATAGCGCTGTGCTACACTTTCTCACTCTTTTCCAGCAGAAACGGATAGTGAGGAAAGGGCAAAGTGGCTTCTTTTTTCCGCCTGTGTGAAGAGATTAACTAAAAAGTCCACAGAAAAGGCAGTCGCATCCCAGCTGGAATCTGTAGCCGTGTACCTGGATGTGCCTCCTTCTGGAGTACTCAGAAGTCATTTGGGGACAGCCTGTGCTCAGTGCCTTCTTGCCGTGCTTATACCGCTTCTCCAGAAATCTCCTCTGCTGATTGGTGACACTGCTGTATAATTTAATTCGCCTGGGTGACAAACACAGTTTTTCATGGCCAAAAGCTTGGACCAGTCGGGCCGTGTCGATGGTGGATATGGAGCTACTCCTGTCATTTAAAGTCACATCCCTGTCAGTCTGAGTCCATACATCTGAGTCCATAGGAGAAGTAGTGCTGGAGAAAATGTTGGGACTATCTGTGAGCAGCTCACTTTCATCTGTGGGTCTAGAATCTGAGGAGGTATTGCTGACATAATTAAAATCCGGTCGTTTTCTCAGGATGTATTTATCTAATTTAAACTGCTCAATTTTAATCTGATTGGATTTCCCACTGTGACCCCTCTCTAGGCTCTTGCACGGCTTCCTCTGCAGCTTGCCTTTATGCTGATGCCGCCTCCTCCCGGTCCAACCCCTCACACCCCGTCCCCCTCTGCTATCATCTTGGGTACTTTCTGAGGCCTGGAGTGAATGTGTGATGGGATTCTGAAGCAGTTTAGCCAAACGATCAAGTCGTTCCACCAAAGACAGTTCTTTCTTTTCACAAACACCAGGCGGTTTCTGCTGCTTCTGTCGCTCCTGGTACTTATTCCAGAGTTCATTCAAACTCACAGTGCACCGTGCTGCTAGCTCTGGGGTGACCCTCTGATCCTTTTTTGGGTCATTTGTCTGTCTTTTGCCTTTTGGGTCTCTGGCCTGATTCTTGACAGTATTCGTCTTCTCATTGTCTCCCAAATTCAAATTGATGCTGAGGCTCTTAATTCTGGTGTAATCCATCTTGGCCTTGTCCGCACTTGTTCCAGGGGGAGGGAGGCAGCTGTGCTTTGAATGATGGTGAAAGAAATCCTTCCAAGAATGCTGCATGAAAACACTCCTTCCCAAAGACTCGGGGCAGAAATCTTGCTCATGGGGCAGGTGCACAGGATGATGAAAATAAAATTTAGCTGACCTGAAGACAGAGTGTGTGGTGTTTTCAAATGCAGAACGGCATTCAGACTCTGAAAAGAACAAAGAGGAAAAAAAGATTTCTAAAGAATTTAGAAATATTTGTATTCCTTTTATAAATACTATGTTTTCTTAAGACATAGAACATGTGCTTAGCAACCAGACTGGCATGAGTCAAAATATGTGAATTCTGGGCTGGATCTCAGATGAAAGAGTGCTTGCCTAGCATGCACAAGGTCATGGGTTCAATTCCCAGCATGTTATAAACTTCATTTATACTCCCAGTACTCGAAACACAAAGAAAGCAGGATCAGGAGTTCCAGATTATCCTCCGTTATACGACCAGTTCAGGTCAGCCTGAAATAATTGTATGGTTTTGAGACAAAGGTCTCAAAAACAAAAACCAAGAGCACTAGAGAGTACAGAAGTCACTGGACCTCTGTGAGTTCAAGGCTAGCCTGGTATACACAGTGAGTTCTAGGCCAGTCAAGGCTACTTTGTATCAAAAACAAAACAACAATAAAACAAATCTGGATGGGATTTTTCCATCATGTAACAAAGTTGTGTGCCCTGTAGTTCTCCAAACTATAATTAGTTCCCTTACACATCCATGACCAGTTCTTTATAGGCTACTTTTTGTATGTGTTCTTTCTTTTAAAAAAAATTTCACCTTGTTAGTAAGATCTAGATGGTTATCTCTAGCTAAAAACTCTGGAATTTTACCATCAGCATTAAGTGGGTAGAGTAAAAAAAACTTGTAAAAAAAAAAGCCTCATGCTTGGACAATCACCATTCCACCTCAAAATAGGTACTGTTTAATGCAATCATATCTTACAGTTTGCTAGAACGTGTTTCTCTGAATGCACATTAAAACTGCATCCCTTGATTCAATCCTTGATTGATGGACTATTTAAGACCATGGCAGAAGCATTCAGAAAAGCCTTGTGCTGGCTTATTCCTGTTCCTCTTCACAGTCAAGTTGCTAAGATAGCAAATACGTATTTTCCTGTTCTCTAACTCATTCCCAAACCAAGTCTCTCTTCTAATTACTCCTGAGTTTAGCCATACCACTGGATTATAACAGCTCTGACGTGACCAATGGTCTCCTCAAACAGCGAGTTCTATCTAGATAGCATGAAGTTCATACCCAAAATTCCCATTCAAGAAGATCACAATTCTCCTCATGGTTTTTACTATCATTTCAGTATCAATATCTACTCTTAGATTTACACTTCAAGCTATGATTTCTCTCAATCCCAGATTTATATCTATGTATCATATATATCAGTTAGATGTACAATCACCTTAACTTTTGAATGTCGTTAACCAAATTCTATTCTAGCCTTTACTAAAAAAAAATCCATAAAAAAACTAGAACTAATAAAATTAGGTAGGTTTCAAGTTAGACATGTGTTTAAAACTGCAAGCATGAAGCACAGAATCTACAATAAGCCTCTGCTAGGATTTCCTCTGAAAGAAAATGGAGAAGATCTTGCTACTATGGCACAACAGACTAATGCCCCTGTAACCTGAGCAGTCCGCTTGCCCTTGTGTATGGGAATTATGACTGAGTGCTTCCATTCCATGGGAATCACTTGGTGTTCCCCTATCTCTCTGAAGAGTCTGAGAAGCACCTTGGCCCCTGAGTCTACTGTAGTTACCTCCAGCTCCTCCACCGTGATGTCATCCATTCAGGGGGCCTTTCTACATTTCTCTCTCTTGATAGCTTCCTCTATCTCACTCCTGTCAATATTTAATATTTTCTCATCGTCTCTGGTACTGGAGTGGCTGCTGAGGTGTTTCTTGTTGCATTCAACATTGACAGCATTAGAGTCATTGTATAGGGTGTTAAAGTATTGTCTCCCTTTGCTTTACTTCCCCAAGTTGTTAATAAATGACCTTGCCCATCTTTAATCATCCGAATCTGAGGAACATATCTAGCACCGATAAATATATGGTGGCTTACAAATGACTATAGAATTATTAAATTCCTATATACAAATTTTTTAAAAATGTAATTCAAGTCACAATAGCATAAAAATAAGACATCAGAAAAGAATCTAATAAAAGAATTGAAAAACCCATAGTCTGAACACTACAAAGTATTGCTATAAAATTAAAAATCTAAATAAATGGAAAAGAGCTCATTCGTAGAGAAAAAACCAACAAGCAATAACACTCTTCAGATTGTTCTATAGATCCAGTGCAATCCCTATCAGAATCCCAGATTGTTCTTTTGTAGAAACTGAAAAAATAATTCTAAAATTTGTATGTAATTTAAAGAAACCTAAAAAAGACAACATAATTATGAAAAATAAAGTTGAAGGCCCAATAAATGCCTAGGTTAAACCTTACCATAACTCAATAGTAATCAAGACAGATTAGTACTATCACATGATCAAAACATAGATCAACAGATACTATTGACAGACCTGAAATAAAATTATATATCTATAATCAGTTGATTTTTGGTACAAGTTTTCAGGATGAGGAAATAGTTTTAACAGCTAGTGTTATGATAAATGAATACCCATAATTATCAAAATTGAAAACTGTGTCCAAAGAACATTATTACAAAAATAAGCCAGGAGTCATTACAAAAATAATTCCAGGTACTTGGGAAGCTAAGACAGGAAAATTACCAGATCAATGTCTATTTGAACAACACTATTCTCTGTCCATCCTCCTCCTAATCCTAGCACTTAGCAATCACCTTTCTACATTCTGTTTCTATGATTTTTGTCTACTTGAGATATTTCATATTAGTAGAATCAAAAAATATTTGTGTCTTTGTGATTGGGCTATTTTGCTCAGGATATGTCCTTCTAAGGTTCATCTATGTGACATAATTTCCTCATGAAGGCTTCATAATAACCATCTTTAAATATATAACACACTTTCTTTTTGTTATTTTGTTTGAGACAACATCTAGTTATGTATTCTATAATGACCTTGAGTTAACTATGTTGACCATAGTGGCCAATAATTTGTAATCCTCCTGCTTTGACTTCCTGAGTGCTTTAGATTATAGGCATGTATCACAGTGGTGGTTTGAACAGATATGGCACCTCACAAATTTATGTATTTGAATGTTTGGCTCATGTGGGATTTCCCTCTATATGCTGAGATTACCATTAATGAATAAAGAAACTGCTTTGGACCTATTGCAGGGCAGAACTTAGGTAGGCAAGGAAAACTAAACTGAATGCTGGGAGAAAGAAGGGCAAAGTCAGGGAGAAGCCATGGAGCCACCACCAGAGTCAGATATGCCAAAACTTTGCTGGTATTCTACTGCCACGTGGCGATACACAGATTAATGGAGATGGGTTAAATTAATTTGTAAGAGTTAGTGAATAAGAAGCTAGAGCTAATGGGCCAAGCAGTGATTTAATTAATAGAGTTTCTGTGTGATTATTTTGGGCCTAAGCTAGCCGGGCAGCCGAAAACCAACAAGCAGCCTCCCACTACACTTTGCCCATTGGGATTGGCGCAATTAGGAAGGTCAGACTTGTTGGGAGAAGTGTGTCACTGTAGAGGCTTTGAGGTTTCGTATGTTCAAGCTATACCCAGTGTGGTAGTCTTCTTCTGCTTTCTGTGAATCAAGATGATAGAACTCTCTACTTTCCTTGCCTGCACCATGTCTGTCTGCAAGCTTCCGTGTTTCCCACCATGACAGAATGGACTAAACCTCTGAACTGTAAGCCAGTCTCAATTAAATGTTTATAAAAGTTGCCAGCAGATGAGGGGGGGGGACTTGATCGGGGGAGGGGGAGGGAAATGGGAAGCGGTTGTGGGGACGAGGCAGAAATCCTTAATAAATAAATAAATTTAAAAAAAAAAGTTGCCAGTCATGGTGACTCTTCACAACAACAGAAACACAAATTAAGACAACTACTCTATAAAAACTCTTCACTGACCAATAATTCACTTTTTCCTTATCCATTATATGATGGACAGTTGGATTACTTCTCCATCTTGGTTATAATAATACTGATAAACATGTTGTGAAGTTTGAGGTCTTGCTCTGAATTCTTTTGAATATGTGCCCCAAAGTGAGACTACTACATATGATAATTCTTTAATTTTTTGAGGGAAACAACATTGTTTTCCAGAACAACTACACCGTTTTACATGCCTGCAGATGGTGCATTAATTCCAACTTTTCCATATTCTCCCCAACAGTTGGTATTTTTTTTTTTTTGGTAGCATCCCATTAATTGTAGCCATTCTGATGGGCATGAACTGTTCCTTGTGGTTTTGAACTGAACTTCTCTTAAATTAGTTGAATGTCATTTCATATTCACTTGGTCAAGAATATTTTCTTTTGAGAACTATATGTTTAACTCCTTGTCCATTTTTAAGTTGGGTTTGTTTTTGTTTTCAAGGTACACATGATCCTTATTCATTCTAGGTTTATCTCTCAACAGACAGATAATTTGGGAGTATTTTCCCACTTCTGTTGATAGTCTATTTACATTCTTGCTTGTTTCTAGGTGAATAAGTTTTTAAATTGTTTTAACAGAGTTTCGTTTGTTCATATATGCTTTTGCTGTCCTATCAGAGAAGTGATTAGCAAATACAGCTTCCTGAAGCCTTACTCTTACGTCTTCTACTAGTTTTAGGCGTTCAGGTCTTCTGTTTATGTGTCTAATCCTTTTTGATGTGATTTTTATGTAAAGTAATGATGTAACTTCATTCTTCTAATATCATTATCCATTTTTTCTACACTGTCAGCTTAAAAGGTTATCTTTTCCCCACTGCACAATACTTGTAACCTTGGGAAAAATTATTTTATATATTCTAAATGTGAGGAGCTAATGGGAACTCTTTTCAGTATATAGTTAGTAGACTCAATTCTTTGCTCTTTTTTCTTACATGGAAACTCTTATCTTTTAACAGGTAAAATCTGACAGCAGAATAGTAATGGTTTATGTTCTGCATGCTCCTCTCTTTTGTCAGGGCCAAAGACAAATACAATTCATTTAATTTAGCTTTTTACTATTATTTATTGATGTTATCTTTCTCAGGATTCTAGAGTAATTTCAGGTTTCCACGTTTCAATACTAAGACATGATACTGTACTTCTAACATCATTAGACTTAGAGGTAGTCATTCCTCAGTATCTGGTGGAATTGGTTCCTGGACCTCTCGCAGATGCCAAAATTTGTAGATGCCAAGTGCTTTAAATAAAACAGGGAGAGGCCTGGATAGACCTGTGCATATGGATGTGCATCAGCAGCTCTACACTGCAAATCATCACTAGATCACTTTAACACCAGAAACCAGAAACAAGGTAAGCGCTAAGTCAGCAGTCATTATCCCATGCTGTCTGTGCAGAGTAATAAAAAAAGAGGTCAATGCATGGTCAACAAAGACAAGATTTTTCTCAAATGTTTTCTGCACATAGTTGATGGAATTGGGTATGGAAGGCTGAATATATTTACTTACATGCTGCTTCTGTATATATTTCCCTAGAATTAACATTTATTTTTACAAATCTATAACATATCCATATAGACAGAGCAATATTAAAATGATATTTATAAATAAAACAGAAAAGATCTTATTTTCATCAGAATAGACCAGAAACACAGAGATACTAGCCCCAGGTGCACACACTGACATATACTTCATTACCTGAAATACCTATCTCTAAGGATCCTTCTTTCTCTGGGCAGAGCTCCTGAGGGATGGTCCTTTTAACATGGATCTCCTCCTTCTGTATGATGGATTTAGAATTGGAGAGGTTTTCAGTTTTTCTGTCTTGTACAATGGTATCACTGGAACCTAAGAGAACAAAATAAACACATTAATACATAAAAGAAGTTGAAACAAAAAAGCCTCTAGGCCGGGCAGTGGTGGCGCACGCCTTTAATCCTAGCACTTGGGAGGCAGAGGCAGGCGGATCTCTATGAGTTCGAGGCCAGTCTGGTCTACAAGAACTAGTTCCAGGACAGGAACCAAAAAGCTATGGAGAAACCCTGTCTCGAAAATCCAAAACAAAAAACAAAAAAAGCCTCTAGCCATCTAATATGTGAAAGTCATTGTTAGTGGCATTGCAAAACACAAGTACCTATACCACAATGTTTAGACTGGAACAAAAAGCACACATATATAAACATTCACATAGAGAGCTACAGAAGCACCGTAAGGTGCTGGAAAGATGGCTCAGCGGTTAAAAGTACTTGTTGCTTTTGCAGAGGACATGTTTCACTTTCTAGACCACATGGTGGCTTCAGATAACCTGTATGTAACTCCAAGGGGATCTGACACACTCTTCTAATCTCTATGGGCACCAGGAATTCAAGAGGTACATACATACACAGGCAAAACACTCATACACTTAAAATCAATTAAAATATATGGTTCCTATTTTTCAAGTTTTAAAAACAAAAAAAATCCATAAGAAAGAAGGAGATGAAGAAGTATTACGAAAGCAAACAAAGAGAAAAGTGATTCTAGCAAACAATACCATAGAAGAACTCTAGAAAATTGACTTGGGTCTCTGAAGATAGAGAACATTTTGAAGTAGTAATCAAGTCACTGAAAGCAAAGAAGCTGCATAAAAAAGACTGGAATCAGGAAAGCCACTAAATATCCACAGGTCACAGTGTTTATAATGAGCAGGGAAGCTTTTTGGAGCTGGTCCTTACATTCTAGAAGACCACTGAAAGAGCTTAGGTTTTATTCCCAAGGACAATGAAAACTAAAGTGTATCAGGAGATAAAATCAAAATGATTTCAGAAACATTCAGTTAGCAACAACAAAAAAGTAGTAAAATTTTGGGGTGTTTCCCTGAATGCAATTCTACAGTCTTAAGAAAAACAGTATGTAAAAAAGAGAAGTGCTTTATGTTCTAAAATATGTCTCTAGTTCATAATTGTAGCATAAATTCCAGCTGTCCTCCAATACATATTTTCTTTTTCCTCCAAAATAGCTGAGCATGCAATTGTACCACAAAGTCATGTGCTCAACAATGTTCACAGCAGCATTATTTGTAATAGTCAGAACTTGGAAACAACCTAAATGCTCTTTGACCAAAGAATGAATAAGAAAAATGTGGTACATATACACAATGGAGTACACACAGCAGAAAAAAATGACAACTTGAATTGTGAGCAAATGAATAGACCTAGAAAACATTGTATTGAGTGAGGTAACCCAAACCCAGAAAGACAAGTATCATATGTACTCACTCATAAGTGGTTTTTAGACATAAAACAAAGAAAAACCAGCCTACAACTCACAATCTCAGAGAACCTAGGGAACAAAGAGGATCCTAAGAGAGACATACATGGATCTAATCTACATGGGAAGTAGAAAAAGACAAGATCTCCTGCGTAAATTGGGAGCATGGGGACCATGGGAGAGGGTAGAAGGGGAGGGGAGAGGAGAAAATATATATCTCGATAAAAACAATAAAAAGAAAATATATATCTCGATAAAAACAATAAAAATAATAGCTGAGCCTGTTACCAGAATAAAGGCTCAGACTCCTTGGAAATACCAGTTATGTGAGCTCATGACTCAGGCTGACCTCTAGGATGAAAGGGAAGTGTAACATTTAAGAAGCTCCCCTAAGGAAGAACAGGCTTTTCTCTTTTCCCTTTCTTCCTGCTGAGGGGAGGCTAGCTGATGGTACAATTTGAGAATGAAGGCCAGAAAGGTCAACAATAGAGGAAGAAAGAGCATTGTTCCCTGAGCTCTGGATTTTTTTTTTTTTTTCGAGACAGGGTTTCTCCGCAGCTTTTGGTTTCTGTCCTGGAACTAGCTCTTGTAGTTGAACTCATAGAGATCCGCCTGCCTCTGCCTTCCGAGTGCTGGGATTAAAGGCGTGCGCCACCACCGCCCGGCTCTGAGCTCTGGATTTTTATAAGAAATGCTTTCTTGTCTGTTTTGAACTCTGTTACATTTTGGGTTTTTATCTTTTAGAGCCAAACCTGATACTAAGTTAAACATGCTACTACAGATAATTTCAGCATAATCCTATTGAAGTAAAATAACTTCCAAAATAAACAAGTAGAATATCTAAAGAGTAAACCACTTTTGCACAACAATGATATGAGAGACTATCTTTATAAAACATTATATAACCTATATTAGAGACCATCTTAACTCAGTTAAAATGTATAGCAATGATGTGAGATTCCCCTCTGTATGTTGTGAATACCATTGGTTAATAAAGAAACTGTCTTTGGCCTGTGATAGGGCAAAAAAATAGAGGCAGACAGGGAAAACTAAACTAAAGGCTGGAAGAAAGGAGGTGGAGTCAGAGAGAAGCCATGGAGCCACTGGAGACAGACGTGCTGAAACTTTGCTGGTAGGCAATGACCTCGTGGTGATGCACAGATTAATGGAGATGGGTTAGATTAAGATGTAAGAATTAGCGCTAATGGGCCAAGCAGTGATTTAAATAAATATAGTCTCTGTGTGATTATTTCGGGGCTGAGCATCTGGAAATCACAAGCGACCTCCTCCAACATAGCATAGTTTAATAAATTCAACAACTGGTATCACTGCTATTAATTTTAAAATATTCTAAAGAGCAGAAAAAATTAAAAGGAGCTATAAAAATTCAACAAAACAAGATCTTATAGGCATAATCTAAACATGGTAATACTTCATAATAATGACTTGGAAACTGTATACAAGAAAGGAGGAGAGAATAAGAGGAATAAACTTTGCATTTCAAATGAATCATACGGCAACAATTAACATAAACGATGCAAGGCGAACAGCAGAAACAAGGGGGAATGTAATAGTTCTATCAGATAGAGGATTAATTCGATGAACAATAAAGAAAAGACAAAAACAAGAATATGAACAAGGATTATGGTAACAAAACAAACCAAAAACTATATTTCATGTGGAAAGTACACTGTGATAGTGAAATGAACTACCACAAAAGGGAAAAGCTCCTGGTAAGTCAATTTCTGACGATAAGTTCAAAAGGTCTGCATAAATATCTTCAAAAGTTTTTAAATATCAACTTTATCCATACCAAAGTCAACCAAATAGTAGCTAGAACCCTCAGCTGCTTCGTGTGAGCAAGCGGGAAGGAGGCCTGGAGATAGCAGAGAGAGACTGGAGAGCACACAGCTGCTCAGGCGGCTTGCGATTTTCAAGCAACAGTCTTTGCAGAACAGAGGAAACCAGTGCCCAAAAAATCCAGTTCAGCTACCTGCAGTGTCCTGCAAGGAACTTCTTTCTTCAGGCCATGCCATCTTGGTCACAACCGGTCTACTGATGATCTCTTTCTGTTTTTCGTCTGAGACATTCTGATCCCCAATGACGGGCACTTGAACTGGGGCCTCTGGATAAGAACATTGATTCCAGAGAGAAAAAGATAATAAACAAAAGTAAAGCAAATTTCCTGTCCCTCCCTAACACACAGCCACCCCCACGTATAAATGAGGGGGAAAAGACCCTAGGCTCTGGTTTGGAAGACTGGAATATGAATTAGAAAGTTTGCCATATCTTTCAATGCACAACATCAGTTTAAATAAAGTAACATTTAAAAACCTTTTACTAGTCTGATGAAACCACAATCTCCTTTCTTTCAAATCACTTATGGTTTTCAAAGTAAAAATGCAGGTTTAAACAATTCCTTGGAGTTCTTTGGTCTTTTCCAAGTTTTTACCAATTGTGGAGCTAATTAATATACCATATAGTCAAGAAAAATACTTATACTATCTAGATTTTATATACAACATTCTCTATATCTCATGTAGTTAAAACTTTTAAGCTTGTCTGATACTTCTTCCCTCCATGGTCATATATCTTCTCTTACCTCTAACTACCCATATTTTTCAAGAGAGAAATCAGACAATGTAACCAACAATGAAACACACAACGAAGAGCCAGTCTTGACTTTACTTACCCAGAAATCTCTTTTCTTTCAAATCAATTGTTTTTCTCCTTATTGCTATTACTTCAGTCCTAATTTTTCATCTAATTCTCTAGAATCTTTAATATTTTAGACATATTAGGAGTCTAAAATGTATTAAAAACTTGACTTAAAAAATAAAACATTACAGATATAGTTACCTGACTTTATTCCCTTCTTAGTAGCACCCTTTATACTGGAATTGCGATCTCTCAATATCTTTAGCATGTTGCATTAATAAAAAAATAGTTTTAACAATCTATACTCATAATTTACAGCCTTAGAGCATGCCTTCACACTTACTATGCCTGCGACTAGTCATAATAGTCAATATATGCAGTATTCTTCTGTCTTAACCCATCAACCCATCTACTGATCAACATCTGGCTATTTCTGTTTATTTTTTATGTTGAAAAGCAGTACACTGAGCATTCCAGTAACATTTCCCATTGATTTTTACTAGTTCCAAACATCTTTTTTAAAAATCTGTATCTTTTAACAGATTACAATATCTTTCACGTGCCAAGTTTTTCATGTTAATAACTTCATCAGCCCCCCTCCGGGAATCAATGTCTCATGTCGCTTCTAGACTGTGGACTGGAGATGCAGCTCAGTTGCTGAAGTACTTGCCAAGTAGCATGCACACATTAACTCTTGAACTTGATCTGCAGTACCACAGAAACTGGGACTGGTGACCGGGTAGTGATAGTCTTTAATCCCAGCACTCAGGAGGCAGAGAGAGGCGGATCTCTGTGAGTTCAAGGCCAGCCTGGTCCACAAAGCGAATTCCAGGAGAGCCTTCAAAGCTAAGGAGAAACCCTGTCTGGAAAAACCAAAAACAAAAACTGGGAATCGTGGCAAACATCTGTGATACCTGTATGGAGTGGTGGAATGGGAGGCAAACCAGATAGCAGCAGTTAAGCTGAACTACATAACAAGTTCAAAATTGGCCTAAGATACATGAAACAGTGTGGTGGTTTTAAAGAAAATGGCCCAATAGGAAGGAACATTATTAGCAGATGTGGCTTTGTTGGAGTGGGTGTGGCCTCACTGGAGGAAGTGTGTCACCGTGGGGGCTTTGGGGTCTCCTATGCTTAAGCTACGCTCAGGGCAGCACACAGGTGCATCTAGTGCTTGCAGATCAAGATGCAGCGCTCCTTCACCAGCACCATGTCTGCCTGCATGCCACCATGAAGATAATGGATTCATGCTCTGAAACTGTAAGCCAGCCCCAATAAAATGTTTGCCTTTATAAGAGTTGTTGTAGTCAAAGTGTCTCCACACAACAATAGAAATCCTAAGACACCCTAGCTCAAAGAAAGGATGAAATTCTGAATTATTTCAGAGACATAGGGGTATAAATTTTAAATTTTGCTTTTTCATTGCATATGGCTATCATATATTTTTGTTCAGTGTGCAGACAGGATTTCTCTGACTTTTCTTACATATGCTATCAATTTTCTAAGCACTACCATGACTGGCACACCATCTCTCTTTTAAGTTCCCACATTTATTTGTTTGTTTGTGGGTCACATTATACTTTACTTTTTATTTTTAGAAAATAATTTACTTTTAGAGATTATAACATTTCCCTAAAGCATGATTAATAAAACCTCAAATAAAACTGGGGTTCGCCAGGCAGTGATGGCGCAAGCCTAAATTTAATCCCAGCACTTGGGAGGCAGAGGCAGGTGGATCTCTGTGAGTTCAAGGCCAGCCTGGTCTACAAGAGCTAGTTCTAGGATAGACACCAATGACTACAGAGAAACCCTGTCTCAAAAATCAAAAAAAGAAGGAAAAAGAAAAGAAAAGAAAAGAAAGAAAGAAAGAAAGAAACTGGGGTTCAACACAAAGGCCCTAAAAACAAAGCAGCCAGCCACTGGCCCTTACCTCAACCTCAGTCCGAAATGGCGATCCTGCCTCTAGGAATCTCAGAATGAGATTGTGTCTGAGTGCTATCTCCTCCCATTTTATAATCTTCTCTAGGGCTGAAATTAAAGACATGCACTGCCTGGTTTCTCTGGCAACTAGTGTGGCTACTGAGATTAAAGGTATGTGTTACCACTGCCTGGCTGTAAGGCTGACCAGTGTGCCTCTTTTACTTTCCCGACCCCTAGGCAAGCTTTATTTATTAAAAACAACTGAAATTTCACTACATTTCCCCTCTCCTCCCCAAACCTTCTCCTATAACTCTTGCTTCTTTTTAAATTCATGGCGGCAGCAGTATGTGTGTATATTAATGTATTATTTATTTATGTATGTATTCCTAAATATATAAATACAACATGATCAGTCTTATGTTACTTATATGTATATGTCTTCAGGGCTGACCATTTGGTGTGCTCTTCCTCAAGGAAGGCTATTTCTCCAGTTCTCAACAATCCGTAGTTTCCTATAGTTTTGTCTAGAGTTGAGGCCTCCTAAGCTTTCCTTCCATGATAGTGTGTTATTATTATTGTCTTTACTAGACACATCAGTAAGTAGAGTTTTCACCCCTCATAAAGAAAACTTGTCTTTATAATAGACAAAGCACATTTACAGAAAATCACAACTGATAAAAACGCAGAGTCGTATAGCTCAGTCTCAACTGACCCATCTATAACTCAATTCCTGCACCTAAGACTCAGGGATCACTGTAGAAGAATGGGTAAAGGGATTTTACGAGTCAGAGAAACAGGACATTTGTTCTGAGATTCTGTCTCCTAGAAACGTCAGACACCATACCCATAAAGTCTTACCAATATGGTTGCTTCCTACACTTCTGTTTTTAATCTTTTTTTTTTTTTTTTTTTTGGGTTTTTCGAGACAGGGTTTCTCTGTGACTTTGGAGCCTGTCCTGGAACTAGCTCTGTAGACCAGGCTGGTCTCGAACTCCCAGAGATCCGCCTGCCTCTGCCTCCCGAGTGCTGGGATTAAAGGCGTTTTACAAACAATATTTAGCAAGTTACATATAAAATTCTGGTGCTGGTACAGCAAGCTCTCTTATTGAGCCCAGAGATTAATTTAATGACAACTGAAAACTTTTATTACTATTATGTCTAATTCTCTAATTATATAGGACTTCCTTAATGAATTTCAATTTTAGAATTGTCTCTATGGTACTCTTGCATGTACTTTAGGCTCATTTCTAATAACCTTATCTTTTACACATCTTTTTAAAAAGATTTTAATTGTCCTAGTAAACATCTGTATAAAAACGCAGGACTGTCACTAATTATTGAACAATATGTGTGTAACCTTATACAGATCAAGAAATAAAATCTGAATAGCAGCCTATTACTCATTCTTTCTTCCCATTTTATTCAACACTTGATTTTAAGATTCATAAAAACTGAAGAGAAACCAGAGTGTATAATACCTGATTTTAAATACAACAAATGCATCAGAAATGCCTGAACTGTGTATAAATGGATAATACAAAATATATGTTTTCCTTCCTTCATTCACACTATGTTTATGAAGTTCATTGTGTGTTGTTACATACACTTACCCTTTTCTCCGTGTCTGTAAGTATTCAATAGTGTTAACACCACAAGTTACCTATTTTATTAAAGAAATATTGGCCACTTGAGTGGGTTCTAGCTTGAAACTACTTACAAACAGATTGAAGAATCTGTGGGGGGCTAAGGGTATAGCTCAATGATAGAATGCATGTTTAGCCTATGTGAGGCCCGAATTCAAAAACCAGCAACACACATACACTGTCAGAATATTAATTTACACTCTGACTGTCAGTGAATAAGTTCTCATTATCCACAGCACAGCGTTTTTCATTTCAGCCACTCTAATGAGTACAGAAAGCTACTGCTGTTTTAATTTGTATCCCCAGATTATCAACAAAAATAAAAATTTTATAAAGCTGTTATTGGGTATTACATAGTCTCTTTTGTTCAATTTCTACTGAGCAGAATGTCTTCTTCACACTACTTCTTTATACATTCAGAATATATTTTGTGGAATGTGCACTGATTACTTCCGCTCTGATTTGCCTTTATTTACTGTTCACATTTTATAGAATTTTTTTACTTTAATATTCCTTATCTGGCAATAGTTGCCCGTTTTACTTTCTGTTTTGGTTTTTGGAAAGGAATCCAGTTTAATGAAATTTTTCCTTTTCTAAAATTAAAAAGGCATACTCTTGCATTTCTTATAGAAGATCTACCTATCAGTTCATCTACTTACCTACTAATCTATGTTCCTATGTTTTGGTTAATTTTTTTCTAAAACAGCATCTCACTGGAACTAGCAATCTTCCTGCAATTTTAAATATATTATACTTTCAGAAAATGGCTGCCCTCTATCTAGAGAAAAAGTTGAAAATTCAACAGTTTGACCCAAGAAAGCAAGTGTGTGAATGAAACTGGTGGGATCTGAAAGGACTGACAGAGGCTGATGTGGACACGAAGAGTGGCTGTACTGTGGACAGGACACAGCCAGGGCTCAGCTGACGGCGACCAGTGTCACAGAAATGGGAGCTAAGGATAGTCAGACATTCTGGTCTCCCCCCGCCAAACACACACAAGCCCAAAGATTGAATTTTCACAGGTTGGCAGCAAAATAAAACATCATGTGAACTCTCAACTCCTTGTCAAATCCTGCCAGAGTGTCACTCTGCAACGTTTGGCAGAGATAAATTTATGAGAATTTTAATCACGATTTTCTGATATTTAGTATCAAAATAAGCTTGACTTAGTGTTTATTTCAACACTTGTAATACATTTTATTTATGTGTAAATGAAGTTTAAAGTTTTCCAATCTCTCTGAAGCACTTTAAATATTCTAACATTTAACTTTGCCATATATACTTAATGTAGGACAAAGTTTCCATAACAAACCAGAAAATGAATAAAGACAATATTCTCACTTCAAATAAAAAGATTCAGGAAACAAGCTGTAAAACAGGCAAGGTCACCCATTACCTGCATTATCTTTCTGAGGGGGCTTTTCCCCCTTTGTTGCGGCCCTCTTACTATAGATTCCTTCTGTATGCTTAATGTTCACAGTGGCGGAAAGGTTGTCATCTCTTGTGCCTAGCACTTGAGGTGGAAAGTCTGGGGCAATAGCATCATTGGATCCTACAGAAAAATGAGAAAATATTACACAATTGACACTAAAAATAGTCTTGCAGTCAAGAAAAACTTTTTCTTCCCTTAGACCATATCTATGAAAAGAACACATGACAGGGATGTTGCAGGCCAATTAGACCATCAGTTAAACTGAAACTCAGAGACATGTAGAATAAATTGCAAAATTATCAGACAAGAAAGAAAATGACATCAGACATGACAAAAAAAAATGGGACAGTGATTAGTTCTGGGGACTACTAGCAGCTCAGGAAAGCTGCTGAAAGAAGGAAAATGACGGGGGGGGGGGGGGGTTGTGGCTTCCGGTATTGATTAAAGGAAAAAGACACATTAGATAGTAGTTACCATACAAACACACACAAGGCATGTATAGGAACTAGTCAGGCTGGACAATGGGAGACATTAAGAAGAGTACTATTTAAACGTAACAGCAGCATATGGAATTCTAATCCCCAATACCATAAAGTTTACTGTACATAAAATGAAATATCAAAGAAGATTTTTTTTCTAATCATGGATAATTTATAAGCTTTGACTCAGGAAGATTTGTCTAATGCTGGGATGTTCTATGTTGCATGAATAAATTGAATAAAGAGTTCACTCAAAGATGAAAGTTTAAGGCCTGTGTAGCAGCAGGAAGGTCCAGCCTCTGATGAACTGAACTTTGAACTACTGTACAAAGGTGTATTTATTGATTGTTACAAAGCTGTTTTTCCAGGTGACATATTTCCTCACACCAGGGTCCCTATTCTCATTTAAGTCTCTCTAAAGGAAAGCATCACATGTCCCTGGTACTTCAGTCTTTATGGTGTTCTGTTTGAAATCCACAATAATCCAAGAGCTCCAGGTGTGTCAGAAGCATCTTGTGACCAAAGTCATTCAAAGACTGTAATGCCCCGTTCAGAAGAACAATTTCACAAACCACAGAAAACAATCATCATTTTCCACAATGATTTTTCAAGGTCAAATTACTTCTAGGAAACAACTAGTCACTCTAATGATTTATCCTAAATACAGGGACCCTGCTAGACTCCTATAACACAAAACACTGAAAGAGAGCTAGTCACGTACATCAGAGAAAAGAGCATAGATATGTCTAGCCTATGTGAGGCTCAATTCAATCCCCAGCACCATAAAAAAAATTTTAAAAAATGTAAAAACAGACAAAAGAAAAAAACTGAAAGGAAAAATTTATGTGACAAATATTTGAAAGAATTAAACTTTCTTTTAAATGTATCTCAACATTCCTATATATAATGACAAACAGAGGGGCTGGAGAGATGGCTTAGAGTTTAAGAGCACTGCCTGCTCTGCTGGAGGTCCTGAGTTCCGAGTTTAATTCCCAGCAACCACATGGTGGCTCACAACTATCTGTAATGAGATCTGGTGCCCTCTGCTGGCCAGCAGGTACACATGTAGGCTAAAGACTGTGTACACAATAAATAAATAAATAAATAAATAAATAAATCTTTTTTTAAAAATTGACAAACAGAAACTAATCTGTTATGTCACATCTATAGGCAAAAACCATTCCTGGACATGTAAAGGCTTATCGTAACTACAAACTTCTATAAAACTGTTTGCCTTTCTAGACCAGGATCTAGAAACATACAATTTCCTGAGCTCCTAATACTTGCATTATTAATATATAGCTGTTATAGTGATGGAATGTTTATGATAGTTATGACTGAACAAGTACCAGTCTCATTGATTTCAAAGAGCCTGCAAGTTTCCTACTAAGTCTTCTAGATCAAGTATACACATGACATGAATCTTCTCATCTTACCTGGTTATCACTTTCTGTCCCTTGCCACTTAGCTCTCTGACAAGTTCTATTATCCTTTCTTCTAACAAGTCTCCAGTGCTACAGTTCCTCCACAACCAGACCTTCCTCTTCCTAGGTGTACCATAACTACCAAGAAATGGTTGGTAAAAAATAAATGCTTAAGCAAGACATAGTGGCATACGCCTTTAATCCCAGTACTTGGAAGGGAGAGGCAGGTGAATTTCTGAGTTCATGGCCAGGCAGGTCTACATAGTTAGTTTCAGAACAGCCAGTTACATAGAGAGACCCTGTCTTGAAAACAAAACAAAACAAAACAAAGACCAATGAATGAATGAATGAATAGCGTAGAGAGACCCTGCTTTGAAAAAAAAACCAACCAATAAATAGACAAATAAATAAAGAGATGCTTCCAAGAGTTTCCTTTCTTTTATGCTTCAGATTTTAACAATAAAGGATACAGATAGTTCTTATACCATGTTAATAGAAAGTAAAAACAGATGCCACTTCTCTATATATTTTAAGTTCCTATATATTGTGGTTCAACACAACTCTAACTGGTAGCTATTCTTACCAATCTTTCTACAAACCAGAGCACATGTCTGGAGCAACCAACAACATGAACAATCGGCCCACTACCCTTTTTCTCCCAAGAGTGGTGATCAGGTCAGTGGGGTTAAGCACAACAGATAATTTCTCAAAGTTGCAGTGGATGAGCAAGAGAAGAGGCAGCTGGAGAAGAGTGCAGACAAGCATGTACACAATAGAGAGTATGCTCTTATATCTGGCATTTGTGCAGAGCTGAAATACATGTGGATATGGATTTCTATCTGGGGCAGAAAGAGTTAACTTACTTCTTCCAGAACAGTAATTAGAGATCTAGACCCTTGTTGATCATTTGTGTATTTTCATAAAAGCATTCATCTATGAGGCAAATAGAGCCTCTTCATGTTACTCCTTGCCAACATCTTTATGTGGCTGTATAACGATACCTCTCTATTCACATGCCCAAAGTAGATACTTATATCATCTTCCCCACACCTGCTTCTTAGTCTCCATCTTAGGAAATGTCATTCCTACTTACCCAGTGTTCACTGTGGGAAACTAAAAATCATTTTTTTCCAATTGCCTTATCCTACACTTTTGGCATTCTAACAAGTCCAGAGGAAGTGTGTCCTGTGTCTGCTTACTTCTTCTGTTTGATGTCACTCTAAACTTTTCCCAGTACTACAAACCCTTCTTCTAAGTGCTGTCTCCACTAACACTTTGGCTCTGAATCTCCCACTTCCCATCTACAAGCTATGATCTCCGTATGAAAAATTGGAAAAATTTTACAAATATAAATCAAACTATAGCTACCTACTGCAGCAAAGCACAAATGTTTTTAAATTGCTTACAACCCTGCATGATCTACTGTCAATCACGTTTGGCCACCACTCTGTTTTCTTTCTGTTAAAGGTTCCTGTTCCAGGACTCAGCAAAGCAGATCAAATTGAATCACTTGTGCTAATGACATGCAAGCAAACTCAAACTGTAAGAAGTAGGATCCTGAAGAGACCAGCTTTCAAAATTATACATTTTCACCAACCAGTTGAAAAGAATCAGTTCAGCCTGAGTGGAGAAACAAAGCAACAGTAACGTGCTTACCAACCTAGCATGGCATTCGGCTGGAACATGTTAATTCCTTTTAATACTCACTAGTTCAAAGAACAAATAATGCAGCATATATCAGAATGGTGTTATTTTACAAAATCCCAAGAATTATAAGTACTCCCTACTGTGTTCATTCATTCATGGGTGACAGACATATGAGGTACACATTTGGCTACTGTGAACACTACTCTATGTGTAGTCAGAGGTGACCACTGGCAAAATGCACGGTGTCCAGAGAGGACAAGCAGGACAAAGAAAAAAGACTGTCAAATCTTGCCAAGACAGGGTAAGACAGTTTTGAAAACTTTCCTGCCTCTAGGCCTTAGACAAAGTTGGTTGCTCCAAAGTTACAAATGAGACTTTGGGTGACTGCCCAGGTAGCCAACTGTCTCTGTCATTTATAGGACATTTTGGAAGTTACTTGATTGCACTTCCTGTTTACTCAAGTAATGTTCTCACATCTTCGATGGGGTTGAAGACTAGATAGATGTAGTTACTTTCCTCGTATGACTTGGCTAAGCTTTTTATAAGACAGACTCCTTATGACAGAATAATTATTGAAACATTTAGCATATGTTTTTGCTTCATATTGTTTATGTTGATTGTAATTCTAATTTTTATTTGATATTTGTTCTTATTGTATATAGTTTGTAATAGGCTTAGAACTCTCTTTTTTAAACAAAAGGGGGAGGTGCTGTAGGAACTCCTTCAGCCAGCAGCCTTTAAGATACCAGCCCACTTGGACATTGACTCTTATTCTATAAGTGCCTACGTGAAGCACACGCTTGCTCTTTCTTCCAACTGCTGGATTCAGTTCCTGTTTCCTGTTCATGTAGAGGACTGTGATCTGTGAGTCTACTCTTAAATAAATAACCCCTTTAAAAATAACTTTTAAAAAAATGCTGGTTACCAAGAAGCTGTGCTTAATTCTTTTGTGTTTAGAATTCCTTTTCGAGCTCTCTCAGGTTTTATGTGGATTTAGCTGGCACATGTTGGTGTGCCAATCTGTAGTCGGAGGTTGCTCGTTCATTCCCAGCTTCTCAGACCCAAAATAATCACACAGAAACTGTATTAATTAAATCATTACTTGGCCTATTTGTTCAATCTTCTTACTGGCTAGTTTCTTACATCTAAAATTAACCCATTTCTATTGATCTGTGTATCACCATGTGGCTGTGGCTTACTGGCAAGGTTCTGGCGCATCTGTCTCCTGTGGGTGGCTCCATGGCTTCTCACTGACTCTGCCTTCTTTCTCCCAGAATTCAGTTTAGTTTTCCTGCCTAGCTCTATTCTGATAAGCCACTGGCCTAAACAGCTTTATTCGTTAACCAATAAAAGCAACACATATACATAAGGACTTCTCCCACTATCTATGAGCATGAATACACAGATGATTATTTAAAATACTGTTTTCATTACTTAAAAGCAGAATTGCTCAAAAAAATTGTGTTTGGAGTTCTGAAAAATTGCCATGCTGTTTTCCACAGTGGCTATGCCATTTACAGTCCCATCAGCATGAAGATTCTAATTTCTTCATAGCCTCATTGACAAGTCTTTTATATTTAAAGGAATTAGGAGTGATTCTATCAAGTGTGATGTGTGACCTGTTATTGCTCTGGGTTGTAATTGCCTGTGATGATTGATACAAAGTATCTTTTCATGTATTTGTAGGCTAATGGAGATTTAGGTTCCGTGAGCATATATAAATCAAAGTATTTTGGGGGCTGGAGAGATGACTCAGTGGTTAAGAGCATTGCCTGCTCTTCCAAAGGTCCTGAGTTCAATTCCCAGCAACCACATAGTGCTCTCTTCTGGCCTGCAGGCATACATGCAGAAAGAATAGTGTATACATAATGAATAAAAGAAGTGCAAAAAAATCAAAGTATTTTGTTGTTTGTTGTTGAATTGTAAGTTCTTCACATTTGTCTGGATATTAATTCCTTATAGACAAACATATGGTTTGCAAATATTTTCTCTTGTCCCATATTGGTGGAATATGCCTTTAATCCCAGCACGAGGGAGGCTGTGAGGATCTCTGTGAGTCTGAGATCAGGCCATCTACATAGTGAGCTCCAGGCCAGCCAGAGCAGCATATTAAGACTCTATAAAACAAATCAACCTCGAATTCTATGAATTATCTTTTTGTTGATAGGATACTCTTTGGTGCACAAGCATTTCAAATTATTTTTCTATTTCTTCTTTGTTATTTATATTTTGGATATCATGTTACATTTTATGAAAATGTCATTGCCCTATGTTATTTTAATCATCAAGCCTCACATGGCAGCTCACAACCATACAGCAAAGGCAAGCCTGATATGGTGGTGCACACCTTTAAGGTGTGACTCAGGAGGCAGAAGCAGGCAGATCTCTGTGAATTCTAGGTCAGCCAAGTCTACATAGAGCAGTGGCTCCCTACATAGAGCAGATTGTGGGTTGCAACCCCTGGGAATTTGAATGACCTTTCATGGGGGCTGCCTATCAGATATCCTAAATATAAGATATTTATGTTATTTATAACATATTACAGTTATGAATATAGTTATAGTTATGAAATAGTTTTACGGTCGGGGAGTCAACACAACATAAGGAATTATATTAAAGGGTCATAGTATTAGGAAGGTTAAGAACCACTGCTCTAAAGGGAAGCTCAAAAGGAGGAAGTATAGGATCACAGCCATCATTAAGTCCAGGTCTGCCATCAAGTACCCTGCACTCTTATCAGGAAAGACACAATTCTGCCAGGTGGGCAGGATGACACTGGGAAACAACTGTTCAAAAAAGAACACTGATGTACTTAAAATAATTCTGGCAATATGTAAAAACTTTGCTGTGTAAATCTATCTGCCTAAGATGGCCAGATTTATAGTCTCTTATCTGTGTTCAAACTGTTCTAAGTATAACCTGGGCCAGGGACCCAAAAGAAATTTAAGCATGACTGTTTGGCAAATGCATAAGCCTAAAGTGCACATTGAATGATTGAAGCAAAGTCTTCTGTTCAATGCCAACTCTTATTTGGACCTTAGCCCCAGTCAGCAGGCGCTTTAATAAAATGCTCTTCTTTCACCTCTAAGTGTACAGTGTTTCTCACTGGGAAGGCACATCATTAATCTTACACTTTTGCTCCAGCCTTTGCGGCAACTTAATGGTGTCCCACAGAACTCTGGTATTTGTTCCTTCTTCTCTTTTGTCTGTTCTCACATGAAGTCATCTCAATGGACCTATCTTTAGACTCACTGTTTCTTCTGCCTGATCGTCTTCTGTTGAGCTCCTCTAGCAAATTAATTTTCCCTGCTGTGCTTCTTAAGTCCAGAATTATAATGTGGCCCTTTCTTATAATTCCTATCTCTTTATAATGTTGTTTATCTGGTAAGGCCTAAGTTCTCAAAAAGCCATTTAAGTTAGATCACTGAACATATTTTAACTAGTTTAGTATTTGTCTAGTAAGTCCAACATCTGGGATTCCTCAGGCACTTTTTTTTCTTTGTATGGAACATACTGTGTCTTGTGTTTTTCCTTAATATTTTTAGCTGCAAACTTGGACATTTAAATAATACAGTATAGCAACTGTTAAAGTTAGATTCTACTCCCATTGTGTTTAGTAATTTCTGAACCAAGACTATAAAGACTACACTTGACTGTGTAAGGCCACTCAAGTTTTTACTCAATTTGCATAGTGGCGGGCTAATGCCTGTATGAAGACTGCCTTAAACAGCTAAAACCAGTGAGTCTTCATGTCTTTGGGCTCTATGCTCAATCTAAAGGGACTTTGACACCAACCCAGGCAGTTGTCAACTCAGTTTTAGCCTTCTTTTTTTTCTTACACAAAATAACTGACTTATAAATCAAACAATTCACTTATGAATCAAACCAGAGGTTGAGGCATCAAAACCTCCATATTTCTCTAAAAGGTTTCACAATCAACCAGCCAAAACACTCTATTTCTGAAAATAAAATCTTGAATAATTTTTTGCATAATACCTGAATGTGAGCTCTCAACAGTGGTATCTGATTTGGAATCCAGATCTGAAGGAACTGGTTTTAATTGTGGAACATAGTACATCGTTGAACTTCCCGATGGCTTATATGGCAACAGTACAGGCTGGGCTGAGGAGTAAAGATCAGAACCGTTAGTAAGAAAGCAGCACTGACTCTAACACATGCCAAGCACCTTATACCTGCCAGGCAGTGTTCACATGAAGTGTAACACATATTGTGAAGGATAAGGAACAGGAAAGAAATCAAACCAGGATGAGGCTTAAGTAGGACGAGGGGTGCATTTTCAGCAATTTATTCCATAAGTAGATAGCTCTAAATATAAAGCAGTTTATCTTACTTTACTCCTACAGACATAAGAAAATAAGTCCACTTCACTTTTGGTATAACAATTTCAAAATAAAGTTATTATAAAAATATGATTTTGAACATTAAGAAAATATACAGATGTAAAAAAGACAAGGTATGACTATTTAAAGATAAGTTTAATTAGATTCTATGTTTTTCTTCTGTTTACACACTCGTTATTGTAAAATAAAAAGTTAGAGTTCAGTTCTTCTGTTTTATAATAATAGAATATTAATTTTTAGCCTATTCATACATAGAGAACTCTGATATAAATGTAGGTTTAAAATTTTTTTAACAGTTGAGTGTTTCTGCCACCATCATAAAAGCAACATATTCTTGGCAAGACTGCAACTGTCCCATAGCCTGAATCTCAAAAACAGGCATTTGGAGGCACACTAAACTACATTTGCCATCTGAAACCTAACTCTGCCAAACTCCAACTGGCTCATAAGCCTGAGACAGAAAGACAATGTTTTTATTTTAAACAACAGAAAATAATACATACCTGTGTGTAAGAGTATGTGTGAATTTATATATATTTGGTAATATTACAGACTGGGCTAGGGCCTGGTACACGTTAGGTAGGCATACACATTATCATTGAGCTACATCCACTAGCATCCATGGAAATATTTTTTTTCATTTACGTATGTATGTGTTCATGTTTATACATATGGGGGTGCATGAGCACATGTGCATACATATGTTCACATTTCCATACAGTAGGATTAATGTTCAATCTGAGTAACCAGTGACAGTTTCACAAGCAAGAAATACATCATCACTGTGCACTATAAAAAAGTCTCATGTCATATTACTATGAGCCAAATGCCTGCCCTAAAAACAGTTCTTACATACTAATAGTATTTTTACAAAAATCATAGGACAATGTCAGCAAGCCATAAACAGCATGAATTGCAACATACTCTTGTTAACGCCTTCAAAATTAAGATGGAAATCCTATTCTTTTCACAGGTATGCAAACAAAAACTGAATATAGTAACTTTGTAGCAAAATGAGGTTTAATGATGAGAAAAACAGTAACATTTCAAAGACAATTACACATAAAAGGGATGGTTATGATGTAAAACTCAGTTATAGTCCCTTACTGTCTTTGCCAAGAGAAGATGTGATTTCTTGCATCGAAGATGATGAGGCAAACTTGGGTGGCTTTTGACCCATGGAGCCCAAAGCTTCCTGTCCATAATCATCAACATTAATAAAAATTTCAGAAGAAAACGTGGTCTTTTCTGGACTTTCTGTAGTTATCTGAGTGACTGCATCAGATGATAACTTGTCAGAGGATGTAGGAAAGGGAGCCTGATTCTGTTCTTGTAAACTAATGGGGAGGGGAAAAAAAGGCAGAACAGCTCATATCTTTGGTAAAAAAAATATTTAAGTAATTAGGCATTTGTAAATATAGTGATCTCACATGTAATAACCCATTTTCACAGTATTCCTCATTTTGATACATAGTAAAAAGTGATCAAGCATGTTTCTGATTATTTATTCCAAAATCTACTTTTAATCTTAACTTATAATACTATTATGTAATTTGACTGAAGAAACAGTACTTTCTAGTTGAAATTAATATCTATTCATTTATATATATTTGACAATTAGTATAAAACTGCACTAAATCCCAGAGGACACAAAGATAAACGAAACCAAGTCTTATATTTCAATGGTAGAACAAGAAGTTATAAAGGGTGTGTGTGTGTGTAATAAAGATTATTGAGAATTTTAAATGCTTAAAAATGTTTAGAATTTTTTTTAAAAAAAGGAAATGAATGACTGAATAACAAACATGTAGGAAGAAAGGACAGTTTTACTTTTGAAGAATTTCACTGAACATGCAGGTACCACGAAGGAAAGCTTAACTCCCACACAAACTCCTAATATAGGCTGAACTTAGTGGCTATATTTCAAAGAATACAGACTAAGAAGTGAGAAAAGCAGTCAACACCTGGTCAAGGCTGACATCATAATGACTTATGAGTATAATTTTCCCTGTCTGATTTAAGGGTGAATTTCACCTGCGAAAGGCAAAGAGACATTTGCATTGTCATAAGAAAAAGCTACAGGCTATGTAGCCTTTAAGAATTCACTGATCACCATTCTGGAGCCTGAGAAAGCCAAGACTGAAGCAGTGACAGACTCTTTGCCTAGTGAGGGCCTATTTTCTGGTTCACAGATGTTGCCTTCTTACCATGTTTTACATAATGGAAGGGTCTATACAGCTGTTAGAAGGGGGGTCGTTTGACAAAGGCATTAATCTCATTAATGAGGTACTCACTCTCACAATCTAAAAGCTTCTTTGAGGTCCTATCACCAAATACCATCAAATGGGGATTAGATTTTAACATGAATTTTGGAGAGACTAAGTATTCAGAACATAGTATTCTTCTCCAGGTTCCCAAAATTCATGTCCTCACATGCAAAATACATTCATTCCATCCCCAATCTTAACTCACTGCAGCAACAACTAGGAAGTTCTGCGTGTCCTCGAACACCATCTACATCAGAAGCAGATTCAATGTTCAATGTATCTGAAAACAAAATGTTCTCCATCTGAGAACCAATAACATAAATCATACCTTAAAATACAATGGTAGGACTAGCATATAATACTCATTGCAAAAAGGAAAAGGAGAAAAAGGTCCCAAGCAAGTCCTAAATCTTGAATCTCAGAAGCAGTCCTCCAGTCTCCATGACTCTGGCAGACAATGCCCACGGGGCGTCTCACGGCTCGAGTCACACCTGAGACGACTACGAGGTGCAGAGAGAGTGTGAGACAGAAGTGGCGCAGTACTGTGCGGTGAACACAGGACATTCACAGGAACCTGAAACGTCTCCTTTGAAATTATTATGTCCCCAAGGTCCTGCGCTCTGGCTCATCAGTGGGAGTGGCACCAATAGTATCTGAAATGCCTTCGGATATAGTCTTTAACATTCTTAGTGAACTGCACCTGGTTGATCCATACTTTTTGTCATATGGCCACTTGGTCATACTACTGGTGCTCTCTGCCAAACACACTATCACATTTTCATAATACAGAAATGCTAAATATTTTCCAAGTTTTAAATCTCCGTTTTTTTTCTTAACAACATCTTTAAATCATTTCCTTCATGCAGAAGAGGTGGTGAAAGAATGGAAGAGCTGGACAGGGAGGGAGGGGCTTCTCTGAAACAATATCTTTTGGACATACATGGCCATTGCGATCATGAACTCATAGCAGCTGTGGTACCTACACAAGACCTGTGCAGGTTCTAGCCTATCAATATTCCAGCATGAACAGAGAAAGGGCTCACCAGTGAAAGAACACCACTAGCCCTGAGATCAGAGTCAAACAAACACACCCTGCCCCTATCTAATTCAGGAACTGAAATCCAACCAATCCCAGAGCACGCAATCAATCAATCCCTGAGCACGAAATCCTCCCATGCCCAGGAATTGAGCTCCTACCAAATTCCACCATGAAAATCTCCACCTCCAAAAGCTCCACCCCCTATGAAACCTTTATAAGCTCCACACCTGTGCAGTTTGGGGCTGGCCTTTTCCCACTCTCCTGGATTCCTCCCTCCCAATAAATCTCTTGAATGGTGTTTGTTGTAACTACTTTCTCCCCCACAAGAGCAAAGCTATAATGGCTCTTGCCAGAACAGAGCAGAACTGCTGCATTTCTGCTGGGAAACTCCCTTAGCAGAGCAGAGCAGTTATAGGAGCTCTCACCAAAGCAGAACTGTAACTTTCCTTTGCTGGAGCAACATGTTAGACTCTGGGGAAGCAGAGCAGAGCTGGAACATTTCTTTGGAGCAGAGCAGAGTTGGGCCAACTTCGCTGGGGAAAACCTCCCCTGCTGGAGCAGAGTTGTTACACTTGCATTAGGGAAACCTTTCTCTCGGAGGAAGGATGTAAAGCTTTGCTGGAGACACAGTCCCCTCTGGAACAGAACTGCAACACTTCTGTTGAGATAGCTTTCTCTTCAGAGCTGTAGGTATTCCTTGACTACCAGGATACCTTTCCCTTCAGAGTTGTAACATTTACTCATGAAGGCCCACCCCTTGATGAGGAATTATTAGCAATTAAAGGTTGCTGAATGAGGAAGAATTATTTGTCTTCAGGGTATAGCCATTTCTAGTTAAGTTGCTAATGATCCAGTTAATACTCTACACATACAAAATAATAATAAAGTTAAATGAATTAACACTTCTAAAAAATCATTTTTTCTTGTGTTGTATAACCAACATCTAAGGAAAAAACAAGTTCCACCCTCAACACATTGCTTAGAAATTTCATCACTTAGAAGTTCTTTTAAAAACCATTACAGCATCTAGTTTTCCTAATGTATATATTGCTTTAAAATCTAGAGCCTGTGTAGAAGAGAAAGCCATCCGTGACATTTGTGATCTGACTCTGCCTTCTTTCGAGCTTGACTTGATGATCTCTGCCACTGTTCATTTTCCTGCAAATGAAATAACTTCATTTTTCTCTTGATAGACATCTCGTGACCTGACTATTGTAGAAGAGCAATGGTCAGCACAATATGCAGCTGCCTTTATGGCAAACTGACTTAGATTCCTCAGGAATATTCCCAGAACTAGGAGAGCTGGATCATATGGTATTACAATTTTAGTTTTTGAGGAATTGTCACACTCCTTCCACAGCAATTGTCTTAAATTTTCTATTCCTACCAACGCTGTACAAGAGTTCTTTTCCACCTTTATTCTTGCCGACATTTGTTGTTATTTCTTGACTAGAGTGAGATGGACTCTTTCAACTGAATCTTTCAAGAATGTTCATTTGCCTACTGGCAAAATCTCTGAGCAACCATCCTATTTTAATAGTGAGATGTTGGGAATAGATTGTCAACATTCCTATTCAACATAGTAAAGTCTGAGAAATAGAAAAACGGTAAACAAGTCAGAAAGGAAAAAGTCATTTCTTTGATACTAGATATTATGTACACAAATAACCCCCCCCCCAAAAAAAACCCTATATAGCCTTGGAATAAGTGACTATCAAATATCTAATGAGTATTATAAAAGATACAAGAACTCTATCAATGTAGGAAGAAGTTAAGGATGACCTAAAAAAAAGATTCTAAGTTTCAATCAGTAGCAGATCATTAATACTATTGAAACAAACAAATTTTAATAAATTTGCAAAAACCATGGCTTAAAGGAGTCAGAGTTATGGAAACTAATACTCTAGAGAGAGGCATCCTGGCACTCCAGGCAGAGGCCTGATAAAGGTAGACACACTCTCTTAAAAACACAAGATCATGGGAGTGTTCCAAAAAACATGTGGGTTGGAGTGATAGAGCAACATGACCAACTGAGTTCTCAATTAGACAATTTTGAGCCAAAACATTAGATTAAAATCTAACACACAGTCACCAGACTTTTTAAGTAAGTTGCATCATTGGTCAGAGGAACTGTTGAAAAGCATACTGAAGGTCTCCCCAAAGGAAAAGAGAATTCTGAAGCTGTCTACAACAGGAACATTGAAGGTAAGGAATTAAAAACCCACCAGACTCTTAATCAAAAGTCAAAAGATCACTCCAAATCTTAGAGCCTTTGTGAGATGAAGTTCCCCTGGAGAAGGTGCAAATGGAGCAAAGCAAGTTCTGTAAGGGCTCAGTTCAAAGACTTTGAAGATGAAACTGAGACTTTCACAATAAGAATTAAAAATTTATAGAGTATAAAAGTTACCCAAAACTTGAGACAAATCAAACAAATTAAACAAACATAAAAACCAAACCTGATTCAAAAGGGATTTGGTGGGGTCAATTCTGTGTTCTGTCAATTACGTTTTAAATAAATGCTGACTGGCCAGTAGCCAGACAGGAAGTAGAAGCAGGGAAATGAGAACAGGAGTATTCTGGGAAGAAGGAAGTTCTTTCCCAGTCCTGCTCCGCTGAAAAAGGTCTGAGCCATGTGGCTAACATAGATAAGAATAATAGGTTAATTAATGTAAGTTATAAGAGCTAATATGAAGCCTGAGCTAATGGGCCAATCAGTTTATCATTAATGTAGACTCTGTGTGATTTTTTTTGGGGGGGCTTACCATCTGTGGTAAAAGTAGCAGATAAAAAGTAGCAGAGATTTAAATGGGTGACATTAAACTACATTCTACTCAGAAGTGACAGGCTTTTTGTCTTTGGTTTGAATTTATTTATGTCACTGAGCTTGGTCTTGAACTTCTGATCCTCCTGCCTCTACTTCCTTATGCTGGGATAATAGATGTGTGGCACCATGGTCGGTATACAGTGATATACAGTGATATATGGCCACTGGTAGGAATAAGGTGAAAGAAAGGGAAAAGATATACCAGGC